CGAAAAGTGGATGACGGAAAGAGTTAAACTGGCGCCGGATCTGAAAATTTGCGGTGAAAACAGTTAATTGAGCCGTAGCCTTAGCTTCAGCAATGCTGATGAATTTTGGGGGGGGGTGAGTGTGACATGGCGTATAAGTAACAAAGAGGAGAATAACCAAACATGGCCGGCAAATTCGAGCGCTGATGTGGTGAGCGGGCAGTTAAATTTTGGATTTATTTGTAATTTAATTGTTCAGTTAGCTTCAATGGCTTTCAGGTAAAAAAAAAGTAAACTCAATGCTATTGACAATTTGACACTCGCTTGAAAAGTACGCACTTCTGCAAAAGCAAAGGTTGCAAAATGAAGCAAATATATACATCTATATTTAGAAAAAGACTTTCTTTGCATTTCTTTTAATGCTTGCCAATAGATATTGACAATTGAATGACCCATATAAAAATATTATCGCCTGTGTAAGCCACAAAAGATTACAAACACTTCGCCTGCGGTCATGACAATGCAATCGTAATTCAATTAAAGTTCCTAACAGCTAATAAATTCATATGCTTATACACTATACATAAATATGTATATAAGTATGTGTGTCACTCGAATTCTTTTACTCGGAAAATATATGCAAGGAAAAACCTAACCCACATTCTCAATTTCGCATTCAATCAATTGAAAGCATATTTTTGTACATATGTATATATGTATATATGTATGTATGTTTTTTTTCAAACTGTTGTGGGTGGATTTTCATGCCAAGAGCAGTGGTCAGGCTGGTCCATTCGATTTTTTTTTTACCCTTACTTTTGAAAACCGCCTTTGCTTTGGTGGGTTGGCTTCTTGTTTTTGACTTTTGTGGTTTAAGCGTGGAGTGCGACAACAACAAGTTGAGCCTTGACAATGTTTGTTGAGCCGCCGGCCGGGTTGTAGACTGCTTGGGTTAGTATGTGGTTACATTGTGATTTCAATAGCAATTAAAAGCATAGCGGCGCAAAATGGCTAGCACTCATACATTTTTAGATATGTCTTATGTCTTATGTATGTATGTATGTATAAATAGAAGCAAAACATTTTTCTTTAAATAGTTATATTTAGTCAAGTAATCAGGATGACGACCTGGCAATGATTAAATAAAATATACCTTACTAAAATAAATCTTTCTGAATTCAGTCTCTTTCTTTGAGGTTCCCACACAATATGCAGCTGGTAAGATTGAGAAAAGCTGCCATTTTCAATAGACCCTACGAATCTGGACTTTTGACCAAAAAACATTTTTTTTAATATGTTAAAGCATATACATACACTGGTGGCAAAAATAATAGAGACGCCTTATTTTAAGCAGTTTGGACTTTCGAGAAACATGTTTAGCTGACGTAACTGTTAAGCATAGCTTTGAAAATCATTCGACCAAAGCATATTCTAGCTCACTTACCATGTACAACAGAGTTGCCTAAAGTAGGTTCCGCGTAACCCATGGGTTCCGTAGAAAAGTCACCAGGGTTCCGTAAATTATTAATTTTTGGCTGTTAAATAATTCAATAGGTACATAGGAACAAATGAGGGCTGGTTCGTTTACCATCGTTTAAAATTCGGTGAGAATAAGCACGGCGTTCGGCAGTCGGTTTGAGATGCACGCGCTACTTTCGAGTATATGTACTCGTAGTTGGTAATAGAGATGCCGTTTTTAAATCGATTAATCGAGCCCTTCCAATTCGATTTTTTAGTTTCGATTCGATCAGTGAAACGATAAAAAAATTCGAGTTTCAAAAAAATATTAACAAGAGAGAGTAAAGACCAAAGAATTCAATGACTTCTCTCTTCCGACTATTTGGCTCCTCAGGGAAGCCTCTTGAAAATATAAAATTATTGCTTATACTACAACAAAAACTCCAAAAATGTTAACCTCTTAATTACTCCTTTTATATATTTATAAAGGTACTTAAGAAGGAAATATAGAGTCAGCGAAAACAAAAATAAACCTAAAAACCTTCCGTATAACAAATAAAAAATATTTACCTACGTAAGCTTCCTCATACTTATTAAATTAGTGGTTAATTTTGAAGTAAAAATAAAATTGTTTTCTCATTTGTGTTAAAAAAAAACAAACAGAATTTCGAAAAAATGAAGAGTTTTCTTAAATAAAGCTAACATTGAGTTTTCACTACACATTGGAATAATTGGATATGGAATAAAGGGGTTTTTCTTAGCAGTGGTCACCCCCCAGCCGGGGGTGGCAAATCTCCGAGTGTATCTCTGCCAGGAACCAAGCTTCTCATAAAATCCATTTGCCGTCCGGGAGCTGCGTAAAACACCAAGACGCACACCAAAAATTGCCGAAGAAGCTCGGCCAAACACTTAGCATGTAAGCTCCAAATATTATTATTATTATTATTCGAATATCCGGATTAAAACTTTTTTGGAAAGGTCAGTGAAATTAGAATATTTTGGAAGGGAATATCGACAACCGTATTTTTGGCGAGAGAAAATTATCATCCTTTAAAGGAAAATTACATTTTTGGATTACCTGTGTGGAAAAGAAAAAGAATTTAGTGTTTTCTACTTATACCAAATGAAATGTCAAATCTCATAATTGGGCACTTGCTAAATCTTCGGATGGTAGTATGAAACATACATTTGAGTCTATGTCTCTGAACGAGTTTTGGGTTAGTGTTTGGAGTGAATACCATGAAGTAGGCTATCTCACCTTTGCTTCCTTCTGCCTCAACGTGTCGTTGTGAAACAGGGTTTTCAGCTTACACTTATGTATACAAAAAGAAATTCAGGTCGACATTGGATGACACCCCAGAAATGCACATACAGCTTGCTGACAAAATACCGAACTATAAAACATAATACAGTGAAACAATTTCATTCATTCTTCATATTAAAAGTTAAGCTATGTATACTAAATATTTCTAGTAAAACTTTTTATTCGTATTTAAATTGCACTGCCTTTGATTTTTAGCAATTTGATGCGCGGTTCGATAAAATGAAAGGTATTTAGAAGTTTGGAAACCCCTGATAAACAATATTTGAACTAAAAATATTCTTTTGTTAAACGTGTAAATCGAGAGTAGAGAGAGTTTCTCAAAGCAATGTTTTTTTTTGTTACGGAACAAAACTGAGAGATACCACAGAAAAAAATTAAACTTAAAAATACGGACCGCCCTAATCTTCCTGGTTAATCTAACAAGAATGAATGAATAAAACTGTAAAACGGAAGATATACATATGCACATATTTTGAATACATTAATCAATCGCATTTATTGTACTGAGTTCATATAAACTTTTCGTTGATCTAAAATTCCACCAAATAGTAGTGGGTTTCATTGGGCTTGTGCAAATTTGATTTGTTTAACTTGATTTAAAATTGTCAAATAAGTCACGATGAAATTGTTAAAACTCGGTCGCTGTGATTGTCCGTAGCTACCACAAACAAACAAATTTTGCATACTTAAACATGCCAATTTTTTGAGTTGTTTACAATTTTTTCATGGACCTCCATCACATATTTTTTATTTGATTTTAAATCAAGTTATTTGACACACTCGACGACATTCACTGACAGCTGACGTCATTGAATGGTTTATCATCAATGTTGATGATGGTTATTTTCACTTCTAGGCAGAGCTAATGACAATCTGATGATTGCACCGCAACTGTGCCGGCTTTGATTACCAAAATCTCATCTTTCATATCTGGGTAACTGTGCATACAAATATGTACGTATGTACATACATGTTACATGCTTATTAAAGCGGTCCAAAAATGTATGTAAAAAAATGAGGTCGGACATTTAATGCCGCCACCCGCTAGGATTGTTATATACCGAAAAAAATATACCCATATTTTTAATTTTGAAATAAAATATAATTTAGGTAGTGCTCAAAGCGCTCAAAGTTTTCCATGTATTTTATATGGAGAAAAAACATCTTTTCGCAGAAATAGTGTAGAATTCTTGAAAATCAATATTTTTCGATCGGAAAACTTTACTTATCTTCAGAAGATTCCCAGTAATAATACTCAATTGTTTCTTTAACAATTCTTTCATGGTAACTATATCTTAAGGTCCTCCAAAGCCCTTAGAAAATGCAATGGGGGGGGGGACCAATAAAAGATCTTTAATCATAAAAAATTGTTAAATAAACAATTGAATATTAATACTGGAGGAGAACCACAGTTTTCCGGTCGAAAAATATTGATTTTCCAGACTTTTATACCATTTCTACGAAAAATTGTTTTTACATGGAAAACTTTGAGCGCTTTGAGCACTACCTAAATATTTTTTGATTTCAAAATAAAAAGATACGGGTATATTTCCTACTAGCTCCGACTTTATTTTTTTGGACCACTCTAATGCTTATACAAGTAACTGCACAACTCCTACATGTATGTATTGACAGATGTACCTATATAAGAATGTATGTACGCATAGTTATTTGTATGTATATTTTCAGATATGAATAGAAATTTTAATGCAATACATTGGTGCGATGGCAAAAGGCTGATAATCATAAGCGTCTCCTCCGCTGGTCCCTCGCTGTGGCGATAACCGAAACGCGCTGGATATCTGCT